TGTGTGTGTGTGTGTGTGTTGGTACATTCAAAATTTCAGCATCATCTTGAGATTTTGTGCAATTCAAAAGTGAAATGGAATATATTGTATTTTAGGGCCATCAAACATGCAGGCCATTAAATACAGATATTTGGGTTATTATGTGTTATTCAGATTGATTAATTTTAAAAAGGCTATAATAGACTAGGGAAAGGTAGAATAAAATGTACTCAGAACAGTGGTCAATATGGAGATGAGTACTGTCTCTTTCCTCTGCAGAAAACCTAAAGCAATTGGGGTTCTTAGTTTAAGAAACCAATGAGTCTGTGGGGAAATGTAAGAAATTGGTAAAATATTAATAAAGTAGAAAAGCTTATAATGAAAATACTTTTGCTTCTTTTCTCTGAAAATGCAAGATCGCTTTGCAAAATACTGAATGAGGTTTTGCAAAAAAAAAAAAATACGCCCCAGGGAAGTTTTTCTCCATAATGGGCACAATTATTACACTATAATGCCAGGACAACCTTAGTTGTGGTGATTGGGCAGAGGGACAGATAATTCAAGGATGGGCTTACGGCATTTTTTTAATGTCGTCTGCTTGCTTCAGAATGTGTGAAACTGTATTAATCTATCCAGATAATCAGTAGATAACGATTACTAATTTGGGGCTGGTATAGAAATCAGAAATACTTCTGAATCCCTGCTGTGTGACCTTGAATATGTTGTTTTCTTCCCCAACTTTTTGATATTCTCTCCTTGTGTGCCTTCATCTTAGAGCTGTTTATTTCAGTTTTGTTTGGTGGAAAAACAAAGAAAATTTGAATTGTGATCCCTAAAGAATATTGTGTAAACAGTACATAATCATGGAGGCTGACTAAGTGTCCTGCAGAAGAGTTAAAGCAGCCAGCGTTTAGTGTCTATGCCATTTGAAAGTCCTCCCTGCTGAAACAAAATTGATCCACTCACCTTGAATGTGAGAAAGTGTGTCTTTATTTGACCAATAAACCTTAGCTGGATGCTGTCATTTCTTCTGTGCTGTTCAACTTAGCCTTGCATTACACATGTAAGATTTCAACTTTCAAAGAGTAGCCCCATTGAACACATGCACAGGGTTGCATTGTAAATACCAATAGTTAGTGTAATTTTGGAGTGATCAGTGGTAGGATTTTCTTTTTTTTAAGAATACAAATACAAAGTTAGGTGGTATATGTTTTGCTCTAAACTTGTTATTGATTTGTGTTGATGTATTATTATTGTTATTGATTTGATTGATTGGTTGCCTGAGGGACCGCCTCTTCCTCAAGTACATTGGCCCATCCCATTAGATCGGGCAGAGGGGGCACGCTACGGGTTCCGTCTGCAAGGGACCTACATTTGATGCGTCCCAGGAGGCGGGCCTTCTCTGCCGTGGTGCCCGCCTTATGGAACGTTCTTCCCCCCGAAGTTAGGTTAGCTCCGTCTCTGTTAATGTCCAGGAAATCCCTCAAGACCTGGTCATGTCACCAGGCTTGGGGGTCCCAGGGAACCGGCAACATTTTAAGGTGGCTTCCTAACTGTGGGTGATATATGGTTGCTGTATTTCTCTCTCCATTTGTGGTTTGTGGGATCTAATTTTTTAATGATTTTTTTTAATAATGATTGTTTATATTTTTATCATGATTGTTTTTATATTAATTGTTTTTATATTGTGGTTTTATTTGATTACTTTACCAGAGTCACTTCTGGTGAGATGGGCAGCTATATAAATTTGATTGATAAATAAAATAAATAAATAAAACTTGTTTTCCTTGTGACATTGAAGTGGCACTGAAATTATATTTGTAAAAATGAGCAAGGCACACTGAGAGCATCAATTTAATTTATTTAAAACGACTGACTTGGCTGCTAGATCCATTGATCTTGCAGTGCTCTACACCTCTTTAGGAGTAAAACCACTACTTCAGTGAGACTAATTCCAAGTTGTGATTGCCATCTGAAAGCTTATCATGACTGGTGGGGGGGAAAAACAGTGAGTGGTTAGGTCTTAAGGAATTCCTAGCATCGTTTGTTACCATTCTGAGAGAGATGCCTTTAGGTAGAGGGAAACAGCCACAATGTAGCAGGTGCTGAGGAGTGAATAGCACAGTGTTGGAATATGCAGTAAAACTGGTGAATGCTTTTCTCTCAAGATTACTGGGGAAAAAATTCAGCTGCTAGTCCAGCTTGGCTCCTGTATGGAATTAGAGAAAGAGAACAGGATTATACCGCTGTATCTTTTATCTCATAATGTCTGAACAACTGTAGTGCTTTTTGAATGGTTGGATGGCCCAGTATAAGTGATGTCACCGTCCTGCCCGTGTTGTCAGAATCCCAATCAGATGACCCATATATTGGGCAGGATTAGCTTCAAGCCCCATCCCCTGAGTTCCTAGAAAAGGCAAGGTATAGAAGTAGGGCTAGATCTTGGCTGGAGTTTCCCAGATAAATTCTGGAATTCCCCCTCCTGCCCTTGTCTGTGTGTGTGTGTGTGTGTGTGTGTGTGCATATAAATACATAATATGGTTTCATCTTTTTCCTCATTTTCAGAGGATGAGCTTCTTGTACCTCTTGGGGTTTTTCCTGGCTGTCCTTCCAAGCCTTCATGCTGACTCCTCCCTGCGTTTCATTGCTGTGGGAGATTGGGGCGGAGTCCCCAATGCACCTTTCTACACT